GTTCTTCTTCCAAAATCCTTCCTTCTGTTAATGTCAGATAACTGAGTCTTAACATTTGATCTTGACTTTTCGTCCATCTTTTTCAACATTTGGTTATACTGTTTTTCAAGAAGCACAACAGCCTTAGACAATTCTTCATTGGAATTTGGATCACATTCACTTTGATTAGACACCAAGGCTATGCTTTTCTTCTTTTTAGATTTCTCACTGATTTTCAGTTCAAACATCTAAAGAGATCCCATGAGTTCATCCACCTTCATGGTGTTTATGTCTTGGGCTTCTTCAAAGGCAGTCAGTCACCTTCATGTCAAATCTCTTTGGAAGAGATCTTAGGATTTTCTGGACCAACTTAGCTTTTGGAATCTTTTCTCCTATATCACTTGAAGTATTGGCTATATCAGCAATGTTCATGTGAAAGTCTTGAATACTTTCATCCTCATTCATCTTCAAGTTCTCAAACTTGGTTGTAAGAAGTTAAAATCTTGATGATTTAACCCTAGAGGTTCCTTCATGAGCAGTCTTCAAAATCGCTCAAGCATCTTTGGCAACAATACAATTCTTCATCAATCTGAATATGTTATTGTCCACTCCATTGAATAAGGCATTTAATGCTTTCGAATTTCCTTGAGCTAGCTTATCATCTTCATCATCCTAGTCTTCCTTAGGCTTAATAATATCAGTAATCTTACCTTCCTTATCTTTAGCCTTTGGTGGTTCCCATCTTTTGACCACATATTTCCAAGCTTTACCATCCATGGACTTAATAAAGGCCACCATGCACACTTTCCAATATTCATAATTGGATCCATCAAGGATGGGTGATCTGTTCAATATTCCTCCTTCCTTGTCTATTACACCAGAAAGTAACTTCCCTGAATCACACCCATATATAGAGTAGGATGCCAGCTCTGATACCAATTGAAATTCTGGTATGCAGATCTCAGATGTCCTAAGAGATATTGAGACACTTGATCTATGCTAAAACACAATGACAAGAATAAGCACAATAAAATTGCAGAAAGTAAACGAACACACAATAATTATTAACTCAGTTCGATGTACAACAACATTTACGTCTGAGGGCTACCAAGTGTTGGCTGAAAGTTTTGACTAAGGAAAGGAAACACAGAGATTGACTTTTTGTGTCGAAAGGCTGGGAAAGGTGGTAAGGAAAACAATGTGAGTCAACGCTAGCAGAGGGAGTTTTGTGAGTCGACTCAGGCCTACTCTGTCGAAGATGTCGACTGGGGGGCAAGGAAGCTGACACGAGATAGAAGAACGTTTGAGCGGGAAGAAAATTTGAAAAGCTGAGAACGTGGAAAGTTACAGAAGTGGTGGAAGGAGACGTGACGCCACCAAGATCAACATAACAGTTATTTTATTTTCCTATTTAAGGCAATACCCATGTTCATTTTAGGGGGCGCATTTTGTAACATTGTAAGAAAAAACACTCTGAGTACCAAGCGTTAAGAGAAAAGAGTTTCATTCTTGCAAAATGTATGATCGCATCCACATTTCCTCTTAACAGTTATTTATATCATCAACTTTAAAGATTTCTTGTCTTGTTGTTTTTGTCTTTTCTCGTTTATGCATTTGTCTTTATTTAAGTCTACACTGTCTTTCTCAAATTTATCTTCAACCTATTCTAAACAACACCATTCCACCACCATCTCATACACTCGACCGGTACGTTCTTGGACTTGTTTGGCCGGTCCCACAAGTAAACCTGCGTTAGAAGGTCAGAGGTTGTTCGCGCGAAAACTACGTGCGAACACCAAGCCAAACATGAAATCCACTAGATATTACTAATTCTAAGCTAAACAACCTCTAATTTACAACTTATCACTTAATCACTACTCGTGCTTAATTTCTACCTAAGACTCTCCTGGGTATGAGACCCTTCTCAATTCCCTTTCAATCATAATAGTGACAAAAATTACAATTTAATGCAAACAATCCTGCTCTAGTATCAACATGATACAAGAAAGGCGACAAATACACAACACCTAAATATCACTAAGCAACAATGTATTTTTCACACTTTGATTAGGTTAAATCCATCCTATTTATAACCATAAACTAGACTGGATTTGGGCTTCAAAAATGCAGCAATTTTGTTACACAGAATCTACAACTTATTCTCCTCCATAATAGTTTCTTCAATCCAAAGTTTCCTAAAATGTCTCCACACTTAGAAAACAACATCTTCAAATTTCAACAGAATCTTTGTTTCCTCAATCTTGAACGCCACCAAGGATAAACAAATATTCCCACAATATTCTGAAATCTGGAAATAAATTAGCAGTATCAAAACTGCAAAGTAACAAACAAAGATGTCGAATCATCATGATAGGACATCTTGTCTAACATCTTGTTCTTTAGTTTGTTCTTCATGTTAGGACAACTTGTCCAACATCTTGCTGTCAAGTTAGTTTTACCAAAATTAATGTCAATCTCAAAAGTTTGGATTTATCAGTAACCTTGATGGTTTCTTTGTTAAACTGAGCTACATATACCACAAATACTCAAAATGACCTCGGCAATTATTGAACAAGTTTGTCATCGAAAAATTTTAGTGTTTGATGGCCAATAAATGATGGATCATATTTTTTACTAATCATGCCTTAGAAGGTAGTCCAACATCTGATATTATTCCAACATTTGAAGAAGATTCTGAACAAGTTCAGAGGCCACAAAAAATCGGACAAATACCAAGAAGATTTGAGAGTTTGACATGTTACAAGATACTGAGATAGACTTTGAGGAGGAATTAATTCAAAAGTTCCATATTGGTAGACTCTGAACTAGTTAGTACTAAAGGAGCTTTAAAGAAGAAAGTATGGATAAAGGCCATGAAAGAAGAACTTAAGGCTATAGAAAGAAACAAGACTTGCAGAGTTTGACATGTTGCAAGATACTGAGATAGACTTTAAGGGGAAAGTCATTCATATGTGCCATTTTGGTAGACTCTGAACCATTTAGTACTGAATGAACTCTAAAAAAAAAGTTTGGCTAAAGGCCATGAAAGAAGAACTTAAGGCTATAGAAAGAAACACGACTTAGGAGTTGAATGAGTTTCCAAAGAACAAGAAAGTCATTAGTGTGAGATGGGTTTACAAGTTGAAACTGAAGCCATATGGATCAATTAACAAACACAAAGTAAGGTTAATAGCTACAGGATTTCTATAGAAATCTGGATTAGATTACCTTTAAGTGTTTGCACCTGTAGTTAGGCATGAAACAATCAGACGTGTGATTGCTATAGCTGCTAATAAAAATTGGCCTATGATGCATTTAGATGTGAAATATACATTTCTGAATGGTCCTTTATAAGAGGAAGTTTATGTGTCACAACCTTATGGATTTGTGAAAAAAAATCGGGAAGGGATGGTGTACAACTTGCACAAAGCTTTGGAAGTTTAAAATTGATTCATTTTTCAAGCTTCAAGGATTCATAAAATGTGAGATGGTGTATGGTGTTTATGTTCCGCATACATCTGATAGCAATATGATTTTGGTGTGTCTTTATGTTAATGACATATTGCTAACAGGGAGTTGTTCATATGAGATAGTCAAGTTCAAGAAGATGTTGATGAATGAGTTTGAGATGACTGATCTAGGAAATATGATATGTTTTCTACGGATGAAGATTATGTACTCAGATAAGGGTATAATTTGCATCAGCTGAAGTATGAACTTGAACTTCTCAAGAGATTTGAGCTTATAAATTGCATGTCTGCAATTACACTTGCTGAAATAAATCACAAGCTAGATTCTGATGTTGAGGGTGATGATGTAGATGCGACAACTTTTAAACTATTGGTGGCCTCATTGAGATATCTTTGCAATACCAGACCTGACATATGTTATGCAGTTGAAATGGTGAGTAGGTTTATGAACAAACCAAAATGGTCACATTACCAAGCTGCTTCCAGGATACTAAGGTATATTAAGACGACTATGAAGTATAGAGTTTTGTTCCCTTCTGGTGCTGAATTTGGTTTAGAGTTGATATGCTATTCAGGCTCAGATTGGTGTGGAAAAAGAGTTGACAGAAGAAGTACTTCTAGATATTTCTTCAAGTATCTGAGAGGTCTTATTTGTTGGTACTCCAAAAAGCAATCAGTAGTTGCATTGTCAACCTATAAAGCTGAGTACATTGGATGTGCTTTGTCTGTGTGGCAAGCTGTTTAAATTCTGAACTTATTGTAGGATCTGAAGATCAAGGTGAGTAAGTCTATGAAGTTGATGATTGACAACAAATCAACTATAATCCTTTCCAAGAATCTAGTGTTTCATGGAAGGAGCAAGTACATTGACACAAAGTTTTATTTTTTACCCAATTAAATTTAGAATAAAGTGCTTGAAATTGTTCACTGTAGCACTCAGAAGCAACATGCAGATGTGCTTATTAAAACTATCAAGACTGAGCATTTTATCCATTTAAAAGATAAAATTGGTGTTATTAATTTTAATCTTAAATGTGAATTAAGAGATGATATTAAAGTGTAATCCATCTTCACATTTAAGTTGTATTTATATTTTAATTTGACATAAAAAGATTGCTTTTATCATTTTCGGAAACTTTACGTATTGGCATATTATATTGAGAGCAATAAATCAAATTGATTTTTCATAAAGCCACTTCTCTTTCACGCAAATTGAAAGCAAGAAGTCTTCCATCTCCCGTTTCTAAATAATAAATTTAATCTCCTTAACATATTTTACATTTTATTAAAAATTATAATTAATGTGTGTATTTTATCTACTACTATAATTTTACTTAAAATATTGTAAAAAGTGCACAAAAAAAACTAGTCCTAGTATATAAAACAAAAATTGCAGGTGTACTTGTTTAGCGCTCCCTCCAAATCGGTGACATACTCAAAGTCTTGCACAGTTGACAAGTATCACCGGGAACGAAAACCCAAAAAATAAAAAGATTATAGTTTCTCTTTTTTCTCTTCGATGCTCTTCTCTGCAATGTAGGACATCGGAGAATGGCCGAATGTCACCGGAGCAACGTTGATTCACTAGTTCTCGATCACCGCCACCATGCCAAAAACACCACCACCGACAACTTCTGCATCTCCGCCTCTTCGATCCGCCGCATCATTTTTGACGCTGTGAGCTGCGGTGGAACTTCCCGGCACCGACATCGCCACCACGAGGAACTCCACAACGACATTGGCTCTTCTACTTCGACGGCAAGCTTTGCATCCGTTACCGTTTGCCACAAAGAAAAGAAGCATGTTCAAGAAGAGAAGCATGAGAAGCTATTGGATCTCCTGAACGTACAGGTGCATGTTACGGATGCGGAATCGAAGAAGAAAGAAGAGATATTGTTAGAGCTGAAGCAAGTGGTGAAGGAATTGCGTGATGAGGATTCGACGAAGCGGAGAATGGCGGCGGCGAGAGTGAGGTTACTGACTAAAGATGATACCGAAGCGAGAGGCTCACTCGCTATGCTCGGAGCGATTTCTCCACTCGTTGGAATGCTTGATTCAGAAGACGTTCATTCTCAGATCGATTCTCTTTATGCATTACTCAATATCGGAATCGGCAACGATGCGTGAGTTTTTTCCTCTCTCTGAGAATGTGATTATTCTATGATCTTCCTAAATTGGTTTCATACATTTCTAATTTGATTTGATTTGATTTTTTTTTTCTTTTGTTGTTTGTTTGATTAATAATTGTGCAATTTTGTGTTTGATCTGATACAGAAACAAAGCAGCGATTGTAAAAGTTGGTGCTGTTCATAAGATGCTGAAGCTAATTGAATCACCGGGTGCTGTTGTTGATTCGTCGGTTTCTGAGGCAATTGTTGCAAATTTCCTTGGATTGAGTGCTTTGGATTCTAACAAACCAATAATTGGATCCTCTGGTGCAATACCTTTTTTAGTTAGAACCCTTCAAAATCTAGATAAAAATAGTAAAAGTAGTTCCCAAGTTAAGCAAGATGCTCTTCGGGCTCTGTACAATCTTTCGATCAATCAGACCAATATTTCGTTCATTTTGGAAACCGATTTGGTATTGTTTATGATAAACTCAATTGAAGATATGGTAGTGAGTGAGAGAGTCCTTTCGATTCTAAGCAATTTGGTGTCAACTCCAGAAGGTAGAAAAGCTATCAGTGCTGTTAGGGATGGAATCACAATTTTAATTGATGTATTGAGTTGGACAGATTCGCCTAAGTGCCAAGAGAAAGCTTCATACATTTTGATGGTCATGGCACACAAAGCCTATGCTGATAGGCAAACCATGATTGAGGTAGGGATTGTATCGGCATTGCTCGAGTTGACGCTTGTAGGTACCGCATTGGCACAGAAAAGGGCGTCAAGGATATTGGAGTGTTTTAGGGTAGACAAAGGGAAGCAGGTTTCTGGGAGATGTGATGGTGGAAACTTAAGTTTAACTGTCTCTGCACCTATTTGCGCCTCGTCGTCTTCGACGGATGGAGGAGGTAAAGAGTATTTAATGGAGGAGGTGAACATGATGAGTGACGAAAAGATAGCAGTGAAGCAATTAGTTCAGCAGAGTTTGCAGAATAACATGATGAAAATTGTCAAGAGGGCTAACTTGCGTCACGATTTCGTTCCATCCGAGCGTTTTGCTTCACTGACTTCGAGTTCCACATCAAAGAGCCTTCCATTTTGAAAAATTGCAGCTGCTAATTTCATCAGAGTTAAGTATATGAACCATGAAAGTATCCTCCATAGCATAATTACATTGATCTTTTGGCCTTGTAACTGTTTTAGTAGCACTGGTGTAATTTGTTCAAGATTTACTGTGGGATTGTTGGGTGTAAAATCTTTTAATTTTATTAGTTAAGTGATGCATTAAGTAGCCATTAATTATTTATTTAATGCAACATGACCTAGTTCTATTAACAGGTAATAGATCTATTATATGGTAAACTGGATATATGTTTGAATGGAAACATGACCTGTTAGTTGCAAAAAAGAATCAATTGACAATTATATTTTCTTCGCAGTACGTGCGCACAACCGCAACATGATGTTCGTAGGGTAGGGGTGGGGGTGGGGGATACTTCTCACCCATATGAAATGTTATCTTCATCTGGGTGCTAACTTTAACTTTGTTGACTTTTGGTATATATATATATATATATATATATATATATATATATATATATATATATATATATATATATATATATATATATATATATATATATATATATATATATGGAAAAAAAGATAGATGTACGTAAAGTTTTTTTATACGGTCAATCAATGATTGATTATATATGGAAAAAAAGATGATGTAAACACCGGAAAGTTTTTTTATACGGTCAATCAATGATGATCATGTATTGTTTTTTTATACGGTCAATCAATGATGATCATGCATTCTGTTGTTAAGTCATACTAAAAACTTTAAAAGGCTTAATTAGTGTCGAAGTCCGTTAATTTAATTTAAGATTTCACTTTAATCTCTTATCTAATAAACGTTTCATATTAATCCTTTAAAAATAGTTCCCTTAGTCAAATTGGTCCTTACTATTAAATTTTTTTAAAAGCCTTAACTTTGCCTACATGGTATGACAATAAGACATTTTTTAATAAGTTGAGTCAACATTCGTATTAAAAAATTAGTATTTTATTTTAACTTAAAAGGTTGTGTTTTTGAAGTAATGAGTGACAGAACAAAAGAAAATAAAAAATAAAACTCAGAAGTGTGAAAAATCAACAATCAACTAGCACAAACTTGTATGATATTGTGATTCACAATATACAAACTAGGAATTAAGAAAACGACTAAAATCTATTATTGATGATGAATTTACAACACAAATTATCATGGGTATCCTGAGCAATTTCAGAACTCTACTGCTCAAGAAAATATTCCTGAAACTTGACATCAAGTCGGTAGTTTTCCCTTTCATCATTTTGCAGAACTGCATGAAAAGATTGTGCAACCTGAAAACAAAAGAGAAATTATAAAGTTCATGATTCTTCACTTCCATGAAATAGTATGTACTTTATATGAACATCACTTTTACCATATACTTGGCGCAACTCTTCCTTAGTTTTCATATCTAGCTACAACATTTTAAGTGGAAAAAAAATCAAGGGATATGAATCGAAGCTCCCCATTCTCACATTTAGAAATTCCTAAATTAGTCAAAAACAACAAGAGTAACAAAACATAACCCTGAAAAAAATTCAACTCACATCATACTCAAACAAAACAAAATAATAGAATTTAAGTGAAAAAGAAATCAAGAGATGTAAATTGAAGATATTAAGTGATGATCTAGAATTTAAGTGATTACTTTGACATGTTCTATAAAAAAAACTAAACACCTCCAATTTCTGCTATAAGCTTATAAGGAAAAAGAAAAGAAAAGAAGAAACAACACAATGAGGGAGAAGGAAAAAAAGGAAGAAAAAAAAAAAGGAAACCCACCATGGGTACTAGTAGTAGAAGCTGTCAACGTTTTATAAAACGAATGAAGATGAAACCCCGGAGGAGGATCAGAAGGAGCTTATTTCTCAATTGCATTCTCATCTTGCTATAACATCATTCAGATCCACAATCCAAAACAACACATAAAAATCATAAGAATGTGTAGTGTTTATTATTCTGAACTAAAAAAACTTAAGAGAGTTAACAATAGATCTGAAGAGAATGAATTTAATGGTCTAAAAAGGATTAGAAAGAGATAGGAAGAAGAGAATAAGAGAGGTCACGACTAGAGTTAGGGGAAGTGAGAAAGATATTGTGGATAATAATGTTTAATAAATTATAATTAATAAAATAATTCCAAGTCGGCCAAATAAATGTCAGATGGGTACCACGTCTGCTCACTTTAACAGATTTTGACAAAATTTAACGGAAAAGACTAATGTCATTAACAGAACTTGATTTAAAGGACTTAAAACGAATGTTTATTAAATAAGGGACGACAGCGAAACCTGAAATTAAGTTAAGGGACTAAAGGATGCATTAAGCCATTTTAAAATAATTATATAACATGGCATATTGATATATTCTTATTGGATGACAGTGTAAAAATGTTTTACACTATCAGTGCATAACAATTAAACCATATATATATATATATATATATATATATATATATATATATATATATATATATATATATATATATATATATATATATATATATATATATATATATATATATATATATATATATATATATATATATATATATATATATATATTCTTGGATTATGGGCCAAATTTTGTTTACATTTCTTTTAAATTAAGAGAATTTCTTACTGCACCCCTTGATACTCTTAGGCACCATGCACGCTGACTAAAATGGTTCCCTAATTTCGGAGTTGTATCTCCGGACGCACCTTTTTTCACTTTTTTTATTTAATTCCATAGATGCATCTACAGAATCATTTTGTATTCATATTTATGGGGAAAAAACTAGAAACAGAATACCAGAAAATCAATATTGCAACAATAAAATCAACAGTCGTAAAATAAAATCGGCGTTACATTGATGATTTTGACAGAAATTTAAATATTATATTTCAATAGCTCGGTGGATGCTTGCACATCTCTAAGATGTCATCGACCGTTCTTCGAGTCGTCTCCTCCAATTCGAGCAGAATTTTCTCTTCGAAACCGAAATATGTTTGTCACATCGCTCTAACATCATCTTGATTCTTGAATTTTAACTTGTTGTAAACAACGTTCCCATCGTTGTCAACTGAACGTGAACGATACTCAAGCTTCACAACCTTTCGTTTGTCATTGTAAGGTAGGCGATATTGGATCTCGTCTATGATATCGGTGAGGGGTGAGGTCCATGAGCTTGAACGTCCTCCTAGTTGTTCTACCGTCAAAAAAGGAGACACTTGCGACATACCAACCGATCTTGATTTCAAACAATTGATATATTTTTGCATTTGTGTGAAAGATAACAAATCAAACCCCAAATTTATAGAAAACCTAGGTGAATATGGACCAACCATTTTTTGTCAAACTTGTTTCCGGAGCTATATCCATGGGACGACCCTATAATTATTGGTTTCGGATATGTATCTCCGGAACTTCCACTGAAATTGAAAAATTAAGAACCTTTCGTAGATACATATTTGGAAGCTTCTCTGCTACATTTTAAAAACCATAACTCAATATAGAAGCACATCATAATAAACAAATAAAATGCATATGTGCAAAAATAAGCATGAGAATAAAATGAGACTATTTTGCACTTCAAAAATTTATAATTAGTCGTCCGATTATACAAGAATTCAAAACGAATCAAAACAAGTGTCGCCGACTAAATCTATTGGTGGTACCCTTTTGGAGTTACATCTCCGGAAGTTTCCCTGAACTGAATTATTTTGAAGTTTCCTCAGCGTATGCCAGTAGAAAATGATTTGGTATATATAGCTCCGGAAACAACCAAATTTTGGCAAAAAAAAGGTGCGTCCGGATGTGTATCTCCGGAAGTAGGGGCATAAAAGAAATTTCTCCAGGTTTCTAAGAAGGCCAAGGGGTGGGATAAGAAATTCTCTAAATTAAATATAGTTATTTAGTCTGAGCATGTCACAGAGCATAACGTCAATGCAATTTTATTAATATAGTGTCATTGTGAATTGAAAAAACATCTTTAAATTTTATACATGAGAAATTATACAATTCGTACGTGTTTATAACATATAAATTATGTTCTAGACTGGGATGAAGCTTAACCCAGAACTAAGCAGGCCCAAAACCCACTGGGGTTGGGCCCAATAGGACCACGCTGACGAGCAGAAGACCCGTCGGGCACAACCTTCCCCCTTGACGGGCACAGATCAACAGTTGTCGGGCAGGACCCTCGCAACCGACCAACCAACCTCTTTCTTCCCCATCGTCAGGAAGAGTCCAACCTGCTCGAGGAGCTTCTCAAACCTCCCCCCACATTTTCTATGTGTCCCTCACGTAGGGACACGTCATAGAGTAACTACCCACGTCCTGGAGATTCGGTATTCCTCCTCCCGGATAGTGCAGAACAGTTACCCTAGGGCGAAGATCACGTGCTGGTCTTCACGACGCCATATCAGCCCTAGCAGTTAATGACATTGGGCCTGGCAGCCCAGCCCAGTGCTAGGTAACCGTTGGCCCTGCGCTGGGGGCTCACTATAAATACCCTCTTCACTAGAGGGTCAGGTAACTTAACTCTCTTACTTTCTCTCTGTACTTGCTCCCACTCTGCTCGTCACTTACTTTGGCATCGGAGTGTATTTCAGGTACACCCCCTCCTCATCCATACCTTCGGTGAACAACTAGCAGATCAACGACACGTGCCAGGTCACTGATTCCCTTCTGGTCAGGTACGATCAAATTACAATAGGATAATAGTAAATCTTCTCCGGCTGTGACCACATGTACGGGTTATGCCTTTGTGTGGCTCGCATTTAGGTTTAGATTTTGATGTTAAATATACGACGTTTAAAGATGTATTTTTAGATGCATCAAAATTTTATATTGCATTTCGTAAGGAAATATCCCCTTTTGTCATAAAATAATGCATAAGTGGGCGTCTTTATAAAAACTACAAAATTATATATTTGAATACGTTTTGAGTGATATTATCGCGCAAGACCTTCTCACTTCCTAATTTTCAATCGAGCTCACTCTAAACAAATAAAAATGCGCGT